GGGATGACCTTTCTGTAATGTCTGGTAGCAATGACCCTCGGCAGCTAGAGAAAGATTAATATGCCCTTTGTCAAATAAGGGAAAGAAGTCTAATAGATGTTTTCCAATTATTTGATAAATAAGTTTTAAAACTTTTTAAAAGTTCTCCTGGAACAAATACAACTACGCAGAGCACTAGTAAAGTCTAACAACAGGCACATGCTGCTGGAGGGCTATTAAATGTAATCAATAGGGGCCTCTGAAATGGCAAAGCTCCAAGAATGGATTAAAAAGTCTGGTCTCTGTTCTAATTTAAAACAGAATCTTGAAGCTGGAAGGGACCTCAAAGGTCACAGAATGACAGAATCTGAATTTAAAAGGATCTTGGTGTCAATCTAATCCAAGCCATAGAAGAAGGAATCCTCAGTGAGTGGTCATCTCCTTTCTGATTAAAGACACCAAGGAAAGGAAGTCAACCAATTCTCCCTGAAAGCCATTCCACCTTAGAAATTCTACTTATTAGGAATGGGGTTAGCTAGGTGGCGCAGTGGATAGAGTGCCAGGCCAGGAGTCAGGAAGACCCGAGTTCAAATCTGGCCTCAGATTCTTATTAGCTATGTGACTGTGGACAAGTCACTTGACCCTGTTTGCCTCAGTTTCCTCATCTATAAATAAGCTGGAGAAGGAAATGGTAAACCACTCCAATATCTTTGCCAAGAAAACCCCAAATGGGGTCTCGAAGAGTCAGACACAACCGAAATGACTGAACAACAATAATTATCAGGAAACATCTCTTGATGTCAAACTTAAATCAGCCTCTTTACAACTTCCCCCCATTGCTCCTGGATCTGACCCCTGGGACCAAATAAAACAACTCCAATCCCTCCTCCAAACGATAGCCCTTGAAGTGCTTGAGGATGGCTCTCATGCCCTGCCAACTCTTCTATTCTCCAAGCTAAGTCTCCCCAGTTCCAGCCAATCTTCACAGGATAGGGACTCAAGACCCTTCATGCCCACCTCTGGATGTTCTCCGGGTTATCTTAAAATGTGGTGCCCAGAGCAATAAGAGCTAGCATTTATATAAGGTTGGATAGCTTGCAGAATGCTTTGTATATGTGTCCAATTTGCTTTTCACAGTAGCCCATTAAGATAGGTGCTGAGATAAGTACTATTGTTATACAGAAGAGGAAACTGAGGCTGAGAGAGCTTGAATGATGTGTCCACGGTCATATCTACAGTAAGTATCTGCACCAGGATCTGAACTCAGGTCTTCCTAACACTATCTACTGTGCCACCTGGCTACCTAAACACAAAACTCTAACGCCTGCTAAGGACAGAGTACAGCAGATTTATAATCTCATATTCCTGGAAGTTATGTCCCTCTCACTTTATCCCATAATCATATTAGTTTTTTAGCAGCCACATCCTACCAATGATTTACATTTGAGTTTTTAATTTACTAAGACCCCTAGATCACCATATCTTGTCCCTGTAAAGCTGACTTAGAGGTCAGAAGAAGCCATACAAGGGCACTCTCAAGGTCTCTCTGGAGAACTTGGAATTGATTGTGTGACATGGGAGACCACTCACCATGGTGTGCCCTCATCAGGGAAGATGCTATGCTCTATGAGCAAAGTAGAATTAAAGTAGATCATAGAAAACGTGAGATGCACAAATTTAGAAACATCTCCACTCCAAATGTTCATATGAACTATTTGTGCCCAACTTACGGTAGAGCCTTCCAAGCTCGTATTGGTCTGATCAGCCACAGTCAGACACACTGTACCCTGATCCTGTCATAGTGATGCCATTTCGGTCCTCTTTGAGAGTGAAAGACAGAAACCAATCAACCATTTCTAAATTATCCCGTATATAGGTTGCTGAACACATTTGCATGCATATCATCTCCCCCACTAGACTGTGAGATCTTTGAGAGCAGGAACTGGTCTTGCCTTTCTTTGTATCATGAGCATTTAGCATAGGGCCTGGCACATAGTAGGAGATTAATAAATAATTACCGACTGAATGACTAAGGGTAAGACTTTACATTTATTCCCTAATGAATTTAATTTTAGTAGATTCAGTCCAATGTCAGCCTGTGAAGATATTTTTGGATGCTGATTCTGTCATCCAGTGTGTTAGCTCTTCCTCCCAGTTTTGTGTTATCTGCAAATTTGATGAGCTTGCCAACTATGTTTTTTTCCTACTCACTTATAAAAATGCTTCTAAAAGCTCAAGGTCAAGCACAAATTCTTCTTGTATTCCACTGACACCCTCCTGCCATGCTGACATTGAACCATTAATAGCTATTTTTTGAGTCTAACAATCCCACCCCTTCTGAATCTAATTGTATTATTGCCTAATCTACATCTCTCTATATCCACAAGAATAGTAGGATACACTTTATCCAGAGCTTTGCAAAAAATCTAGGTAAACTATATCCATAGCATTGCCCTTGTCTAATAATTTAGCAATCATCTCTTCTTCTTTTCTTTTTTTTTTTTTCTAGGCAAGGGGGTTAAGTGACTTGCCCAGGGTCACACAGCTAGCTAGTGTCATGTGTCTGAGACCGGATTTGAACTTGGGTCCTCCTAAATCCAGAGCCGGTGCTCTATCCACTGCACCACCTAGCTGCCCCCAGCAATCATCTCAAAAAAGGAAGTGATGGACTTGATCAAAAAGAAGTTATATTGGCTCTTTGTAATAATTGCAGCTTTCCTTCCTGGATATTTACCAACCTTCTCTTCAACGATCAAGAATTTTCCCAGGAACCAAAGTCAACCTCACTAGATTAACAGTTGAAGACTCTGCTCTTTTCTCTTTTGAAAATTTAAACATTTATCTTTATTTAATCTTGCCTGATTTCTTAATTTCTTTAATCTTTCCTTAATCTCTCCTGTTTTCCATAATCTCTTTTTTTTAAAAATGGTTCATAATCTACCAGCTCCAAATGCCTAACAGTGGAGTTCACCTAGCCAGAAAACTTGAATTCACCAGCATATGCTAGGTGCTCTCTTATCACTTCCATGCGTAACAGGAATATCAGTATTGTAAAAATGAAGGCTAAAACTTTTCTTGGCATGTAATTGGGGAAAAGAATAAAATACCATTAAACTTAACTGGAATATCAGCTCCCTGCGAGTCAACTCTTTTCTGTCATTTACATTGCAAAGGTCATTTTTCTTAGCAGAGAAAACAGATGATAGGAATTAATCAGCTCTGCCTTCTCTCTGTTGTCAGTTCTCACCATCCCATCCACCCCAAGCAAAGGTCCTAATCCTTTTTTGGTCCCCCTTTTTCTCCCAATATAGCCATAAAAGCAACCCAAAACCCCTTTTTTATCCTTAGGTTCCCTTGATAGCCTTGGTTCATTCTGAGCTTTAGCATTCTATGACCTTATTTTCACCCTCTGCTACCTGGTCTTGTTTCCATCTCTCTCTCTCTCTCTCTCTCTCTCTCTCTCTCTCTCTCTCTCTCTCTCTCTCTCTCTCTCTATCTACACACACAAAATCGGTTCTGTTTCTTCCTCCACTGACCTTCAGCCAAATGTTTTCACTACTCTTTGGTTCCTAGATTTCCTCATGATTATACTTTCTTAGTATACAATGCCACCCACCCCCACCCCCCCCACACACACATTATAACTATCCTATTTCTGTTAACTAAGGAATACCTATCCAGAGCAATAGTCTAATGATGGGTTCCATTCCATCAGGTCTTAGGGACAGGTATGAGGTCAAATTTATCCTCTTGCTTAAGCACTTCTTGTCCCTCTTGCTCATTACTCAAATTTTGAACATTTATTAAGGACATTTGAGGCCAGGAATTTTATTACTGTCTCCTTTCTTGGATTTTGTTTGTGAACATCTGTGTGTCTCAACTGCTATTCTTCATTTTTTGTATCTGTTCCCTATGACAAATAATTTGGGAGGATATTTCCAGTCTTCTCCCTCCTGCGTCTTTTTTTTTAGTTTAAAATCTTTTTTCTTTTAAATTGTAAGGCACACTGCAAATCTACCTTACCATCTTTTGCTAAGTGTGCTCTCTCTATATAAGAGATGTGTCATCTTCATATTTTAAGTCATGGTCCTTGAGCCCAAATCCCCTTCTCAGATGTCAATTTCTTAGCCAGTTGTTCACTTTCCAAATTGATTTTTCTCTTCTACATCCCTTTTCTTCAATGGTCAACAGTGAAGAAAACACAAACTATTCCTCTCTGCTCTTTGGTTTCTTTCCTAAGACTTTGTAATTGTTGGCAATAATTTTTGTATTCCTTCTGGCAGCGTCACTTGTACCTATGTGAATCACCAGAAGTAGATAATGTTCATCCATTTGGATGTCTTGGGAGGTTCTCTATTACGTCTGGAATACAAGCCCTGGGAAGACAATAGGTTCTTTATTGTTGGTACAAAGTAAACAAATGGCTACCTTCTGTACCCTTGATACAGAATCACCACACAACCACACAATAACTCTTTTGTTGATCCTTTATGCCTTACTCTGCCCCTTACCAACTAGCTGATATAACAGCTTTTCAAATATTTAAAGACCACTATTATTTCCCTCAGCTCTGCTATAGGGGACCTCATAGATGGCATATTGGAAAGAGTGCTGGGTTTCAATTCAGGAAGAACTGGGTTAAAATCCCACCTCTGACTATCATTAGTTCTCTGACCCTGGACGACTCCTATTTGGGTCCCCAGGCAAAACCTCATGATTTATAGGTAGCTAGGTGGCGTAGTAGATATAGCACTAGGTCTGGAGTTAGAACCTGAGTTCAAATCCTCTCTCAAACATTGACTAGTCATGTGACCCTTGGCAAATCAGACCCTTGCCTCAGTTCCTTCCACTGTAAAATAAGCACAATAACAGCACTCACTGCTCAGGGTTGTTGTATGGATGAGATGAGATAATATTTGAAATGAGACAATATTTGTGAAGCATTTTAGCATAGTTCCTGGCACATAGTATGTGTGTGCAAGCATACAGTGCTTATTATAGCGCAGTAACTACTAACTCACAGGTGGACAGAAGTCAGTCTAGGAGGAATTCTCAGTTTCCCAGACTGGAGAGTACCTCAAACAGATGAAATCTTCAGTCCTTCACATGTTTATTTCATGTTCCCTTAAGCCTTGACTTCTGGGCATGGAAGGGAGAGGAAAAGATGCAGACCACAAAGCAAAACCTAGAAAAATGACAAAGAACAGAGTATAATGTAAACTCAAGGAAGATTCAGAAAAGCTACTTTTCTCTTTACAAAACAGAGCCATCAAGGAGGCCTATACAAATTCCTTTTTTAAATCTAGACTTGTAATGCAGGATCTATCCTACAGTCTCCAAATAGGGGTTTTCTTCAAATAGTAAGTCGTAGTACCGAACAGTGGAATTTCATAACCAGAGAGACTTACCCCCTAGCAGGAAGCTCCTTGTATAAGTTTTTGGGCATCATCCAGAATTATAAGAAATAACTCAATAATCTTATGCTGAAATCATGAGGAAATTGTGAAAATTATCCAGGATTTGTGAGAAAGAATTCATGTAGACAACAAAGCACATTTTTCCTTTGTTAGCAAATATACCCTTGACTATGCAATTACATGCTACATGTTGTGACAATAACAGACGTCATCAAAAGAAATCCTTCAAGCTCTGATTGAAAATGTGCCCTGTGAGATGAAGTCCTGGCCTTGGATTAGGGATTGGAAGAACCATCCTCTTCTTCTACTTCAACTCTTCAAAGTGTTTAGCATCTAGAATGGCTGGACCTTGGGGCCACGTTCTTTCATTTCACTTAAGGTTGGCTTAAGGAAGAAAGGCTAGAAAATACACCTTTGACTTGTATCGTGGAGGAGAGGATGAACTCTCTTTAGCGCAGATGATTACCAAATCTGTATCTCCAGACCATTTTTTTTTCCTACCTGAACTCCTGTCCTACACCTCTAACTGCTGTCTGTAGGACATTCATTGATCTTGCCCTCACTGTAAACCCAACATTCTCAGAACTAACTCATTACTGACCCCTCCTAAGCAGGTTCTCATCCAAACTTCTTATTTCAATCAAGAGTACTGCCATACTCCTTTAAAATCCCTTTTGACTCATCCTTCTCTTTCAATCATTATGTGAAGTCTTTCAACAAGTCCTCTCAAAGTATTGTTCATTGCCATCTTCTTCTCTATATTAGTAATACTGATGTCATAGTCTATACATTGCTTATCACCTACACGTGGATTACAATATCACAGAATCTCAAAGATGGAAGGGGCCTTGGAGGCCATCTAGACCAGTGGTGAGGAACCTGCAGTCTGGAGGCCATATGTGGCCCTTTAGGTCTTCAAGAGCAGCCATTTGACTGAACCCAAACTTCATAGAACAAATCCCCTTAATAAAAAGATTTGTTCTGTAAAATTTGGACTCAGTCAAAAGGCCACACTCAAGGACCTAGAAGGCCACATGTGGCCTCAAAGCCACAGATTGTCTACCCCATCTAGACAAATCCAGAGCTGAAGAATAATCCCTCATACAACTCACCCATCAAGGAATCACCCAGCGTTTGCTTGAAGATCTCCGGTGAGAAGGAACCCACTACCTCATCCACTCAGCTTCCAAAGTGATCTTCCTCAAGGGCAGGTCTGATTATGTTCACTATCCTTTTCAATAAACTCTAATGGCTCCCTGTTGCCATCAATACCAAATATAAAATCCTTTTTTTGGAATTTAAAACCCATCATAACTTGGCCCCTTTCCAGTCTTCTTATGCCCTACACTACTCTCATCTCTTCCACATATTTTTCAATGCAGCTTCCTTGCTATTCCTCAAAAAGGACATTCCATCTCTCAACTCCAAATGTTTTCACTAGCTATCTCCCAGGTCTAGCCCTCTTTCTCTCCTTGTCTCTACCTTCTGGCTTCCCTGACTTACTTCAAGTCTCAGCTAAAACACTGCTTTCTGCAAGCACATTTTCCCAGCTCTCCTCACTCTTAGTCCCTTTCTTCTATTGATTATCTCCACTTTATCCTGTATGTATCTTGTTTGTACACAATTGTTTGCAAAAATGTCTCCTTCATTAGACTGTAGGCTTCTTGAGAGTAGGGACTATTTTTGCCTTTCTCTGTATCCCCAGCACTTAGCACAGTGCCCAGCACATAACAGACACTATTAAGTCTGTTTGTTTATATAGTGTCTATTTATATAATGTTTGTTTATATAATAAATGTTTGTTGACTGACTCCTCCTGAGGCAGTCCATTTCATTTCTTAATAATTCTAATAGAAAAGGTTTTTTTTCTTAAAATAAATCTAAAGCTGTCTCTCCATTTCCAAATATTGCTCCTACTTCTGCTCTCTGGGACAAACCAAAAGTTTGATCCTTCTTCCACTTGAGAGCCCTTCAAATACTAAGTCTTCCCTTTTTCAGGTTACACAGCCCCAGTTTCTCTAACCAATCCTCATATAACATAGGCCTCCACCCTCACTGTTACCCTCCTCTGGTGCGGAGGCACATTGGTACGGAAGAAAGAATGCTGTCACTCCAAATCCCCTCTGGGGTTAATTGCGTTTGCGAGTCACTTAAACTCAGCTTTCTCATCTGTAAAATGAGGGAGTCAGACTGAGGTCCTTTCCAGCTCGAGAGCTGAAATCCTATGATCGTCCTCTAGTTTTTAAATGTCCTTCTTAAAATAGGAAGTAGGCCAATTTGGCTGGGATATATAGTGTAGGTTAAAGGAAGCACATGAAATAAAGCTGGAAAGATAGGCTGGAGATAGACTGTGAAGTACCTTAAAAGCCTAACAAAGGAGTTTGTATTTTATCTTAGAGGCAATAGGAAGTCACTGAACCTTCTTGAGCGATGGAGGGACACAGTCAGATCTCCGCTTTAGGAATTTCACAGATGGACTAGAGACAAGAGACACTTGAAACAAGAAGGCCATTAGGAAACTGTTGTGATAAGTCACGTGGCAGGTGAGAAGGGCTGGAATAAGAGTAGTGTCTGTGTGGGTAGATGGAAAGGTATAGATTCAAGAGATGTTGTGTATTATAGTGATCAGACATGGAGGGTAATGGAAAGTGAATAGTCAAAGAGGACTTCAGGGTTGCGAAGCTAGGAAGGATGGCAGTGCCCTCAACAGAAATGAAATGAAGAAATTAGAAGCTCAGATGGGATAATGATGAAAGCTAATGACGTCTGTTTTGGACAAATTCTGTTTGAGATTACAATGAAATATGCAAGTGAAGATATCCATCAGATAATCGATTGTGAGGAACTAGAACTCAGAAGACAAATTAGGACTGTAGAGACTGATCTAGGAGTTATCTACAGTGAGATTATAATTGAATTGATGAAAGTAGATGAAATCACCGAGACTGTAGAAAGGAAAGAAAAGGGAGCCTACGATGATATGGTGATCCAGGTTAGTTATTGTCATAGCTTCCTGGATGTCCCCCACAACTCTTCCCACTTTTATTATTGCTCTAGAGAGGTATTATTTACCTGGGGCTTAGGAAATTGTGGCAGGGTTGGTGTTCTGACTCATTGAACTGGTAGAGGAAGCACATTTCAGAGTTAGTTTGTGGGCCTTCAGGGCATGAGACATGAACCACCTACATTATTCACAGAGGTTTTTTGCCAAGGGTGGATGTGCTAAGTGGGATGATCTGGCATTTCCCTGGAGTTTCACTGACAAAATGTCAAAAAATGCATTCCATATTCAGTGCGACTGTACGATGAAGGGTACACAACAGATTTTTCTATAAACCCATCACCATCCAAGCAAACAACTGGAGCCACAGAGATACCTACTGCCTACCACCCACAGACCTATGCCAGAAAAAAAAATAGTATCCAGAGACACTGTTTTACGTGGAGAACAAAGTCAATAGTGGAAGCACCCCCAAGTACCCTGAACATTAATGTTGCCCAGTTTATAATTGCTATTGATATAACAGAGGAAAAAATAAAGCTTTAAGAGCAAAATTTGGAACTGGATGGTAGCCAAACACAGAGACTGAAAACTGAGACAATTCTCTCCCAGAGGGCATAAACAGAGTACCTACCCAGACCTCCATCTATCCCTTACCAACCTAGTTCCCAAAGCTATACTTGCTTTTATATTGAGCTGCTCTTGGGTTTAATGATTGTATCTCTAAAACTTAACAGAAGCTTTAAAGACAGGGGGTAACACATTTGCAATGAGGGCAGAAGGAAAGGAAAAGAAGCCTGTTGATTATTTAACCAGAAGTCTAAGGATTTCCTAGACCTCACTGTCACCCCTTCCATACTTTGGACTTTCAGCCATAAAAGTAACAGTTTCCTGGCATCATGGATACTGCCATGAAGACATTTTGAAAGTTGCATTAAAATTGTTTCTGAAAAGGGCAAATTATTGCTGCTTCTATTTCATGTAAAGGGAGTTTTCATAATTAGAGTGATTTGTGCAGGAACGGATAGTTTAAGAAAGGAAAGTCTAAACAGAAATCTAATAGTAAGGGAATAAATATAATCACTAGCGTGGAGGCAGAGACACTCACAATCTGTTTACAAGTAGGAAGCCAAAATTGAAAAGCAATGAATTTAAATTGGAGCTAGCGGTTGGGTGTTGTGGGGGGTAGGAGTGGGGGTGGCAGGACAGAGGAAATGCCTTCTCGGAATACCTATAATCAACCTGGAGGTCTCATTGCTTAAGGATAACAAAGTTTAAGTCTTAACAAGCCTGAGTCATGGAATCACAATATTTGAACTGGAAGGAGTCTCAGCAGCTGCCTAGTCCAACCCATAACTGAAAAGAATTCCTACTACAGGTATCTCTTCCACATAATGGGAATTAGGGGCACAACATCCCCACAATCTGGAAAATCCACATAAAATTTTTGGCCCTCCCTTCATACCAAGAAGTTTGAATTTTTTCTTTTTCTTTTATAGGGTGTTTACAGTATCTTATTTTTAGAATTTGGGTTAAGTATTTGGTCATAGGCTATACGTAGGTCAATCTTAAATAGAAATATTATACATATATTTTACGCATTTCCGAGTTTCTAAACTTTTTCTGTGTCATCTGTTGGCCTTTACCTGTTGTCTGTAGCTTCCACAAACTTCCCCAAAAATTCCCCTTTAATTTCTTATGCCAACCCGCCATATATGGAAACTGTGATGGGAAAAGGCACAATGTTGAAGGGGTAGCTGCATAGCG